TTTAAATCTTTTGAAACCTAACTTCCGCCTACATCAAGCCACATCAGGCCACGACTGCCCCGACCAGGGGCATAAATTTCATCTAACAGTTGGGGGGGGGGCAAAAAATAAACATAACATTTTTCAAGAGCGATTTTTGAAGGGGACACAAATAATACAGCTAAAATTGTACTTGTAAGGATATGTATACACAGAGGAAAGCCTTACTACTATTAGTGAAGCAGGGAAACCATGTCAAATTAGATAACTTCAAGTTGTTGTGGTCACGCATCCCGCGCCGCGACAGCGCTCGTGTCCATTGTATCTGTCACAGTGTTGCCAAGTCCACGGCTTTCACGTGGAATTGGGCTATAACACTGTTGCCGCAGGTTGTTTTTCATGTCCAAAAATGGCCAAAATCTGCGTGTCTACACGTACAAAAGAAACGCGTTAAAAGGGTCATATGATGCGATTAAAATTTTTCCTTTCTCTTTGGAGTGTTACAAGCTCTTGGTGCATAAAAAAGATCTGTAAAGTTGCAAAGACTAAAGTCTCAAATCCAAAGAGATATTCTTTATAAAAGTTACGAGTCAACCACGCCTACCTAAAACGGCTCGTTCTAACACGCCCCCACATGTCTACGTCACGATGTGGGAAGATTTGCATAACGCCGCCCAAATGTAAAAAATAACTTATTCTCGCTGTAGTATTGTTGCTGCTGCCATGTCGTGAAGACGCTGTGTTTTGTTGTGAAAGCGAAACTACTTTGTTTGGTTTTCCAAAAGACGCTTCGTCATGCCTTGAGCTGATCCATGCTGGTCGCTGAGGAAATACATCAACTTCGTGCTGTGGATCGCCGGATCGGCTTTCACCGTGGACGAAGCGGAGCCCAGTCCGGGGTCGTCACATGTGGACTGTAAGTACGTTTTCATATTTAAAGGATTTGCCACTGACGATTCAAACGCGTTTTGAGCAGTGTAGCGTAATGCTTGTTGTTTGTCATTTCTCCGATCACAAATGCAGGCATGGTTTTATGTTTACGCGGCGCGATACAATGCATAAAAAGACAGTATAAGTCATTATAATCCGTAATTATATCCCCACTGGATGCAACAAATGCCTAGTTTATAATGGGTTTTAATGTTTTTGTCTCCGGCCGGACAGGGCATCACAGTAGGGTAAGGGCAGGGGCGTAAATTTCGTCTAACAGTAGGGGGGGACAATAAACATAAATTTTTTGGGGGGGGGGGCGTAGGATGGTAGCATATTTTCTTAGCGATAGATGTAATTTTTAGTGATATCATATGCTAGTGCAAATAGCTATTCTATTTATACTATGTTAAAACAGCAGGATATTCTGCTAATTACTTATTGCCAGTAGTAGCAATTATCTGCACCTCAGCATTGTAATACATTATAAAACAGTACGCAATAATAACTTATTGAGTGTAAATTTTAATTTTAATTCAAATTATTAAATGGATGCCACCTTATTTGGACAGAAGCCCTCCTTACACGTACCCTAACCCTACCCAGGGGCATAGATTACGCCCACTTTTAATATCACATAAATTCGTCCCCCACACTTTTTCGGGCAAGTGTGTTCGCATAGAGGTTTTCAAGAGCAGGTGTGAATAAATATAGATTTAAATTAAAAGAGACAGGATAGTCTGTGCATGATCTGATGTTTTATTCGGACCCATAATAAGGCGAGATGAACATCACGGAGCGCTAAACACTCATGTGCAGTGTATGTTTCATTCATACTCGAAGCCGGAGAGTGCTATCGCGCAGAAAGTTGTACAAGGAAATTCCTAATATGGACAAAAGCATCCAGCTATCGCTGTATGAAAACAGTTGTTTTCACAGAAAACAGAAACGTTTGGAAACATGAAGACATTAAACATACGATTGCGACAATATATGGTTTATTTGTGTTTGTCAAGTCATCTCCAGGTAATAAATAAAGTATATGAACAATGCAGTGCTAATTGACATAGCATTTATTACAGTATAGAAACTATTCTGCCTTATGTGACAAAAAAGTGTTTGTAGTATATAAACAAATCATTATTATTGGTTATTGTCCAGCAGTTATCTGATTTCTAAGTCAATTAAAAGCTAGAAATTAGAGAACAATTAAAGTTGCCTATACACCAGTGAAAAGTTTTTGAACAGTAAGATTTTTTATGTTTTTTAAAGAAGTCTCTTCTGTTCACCAAGCCTGCATTTATTTGATCCAAAGGACAGCAAAACAGTAACATTTTGAAATATTTTTACTAGTCTATTTAAAATAACTATTTTCTATTTGAATATATTTTAAAATGTAATTTACTGTGATTTCAAAGCAAAATTTTTAGCATCATTACTCCAGTCACACGATCCTTCAGAAATCATTCTGATATTCTGATTTGCTGCTCAAAAAACATTTATTATTATTATGATGTTGAAAACAGCTGAGTAGAATTTTTACATTGGCTCAAGTATTTACAATGTACATAGAATAGTGAAAGTTCTGTCATCTAAAGTACTGTTACTGTGTACTGTCAGTTTAAGTACTATAAAAACACGGAAATAACCTTGTAGGCCAATTTCCATGCAAAGAACATGGTCAACTAGTGCTTTGTATTTTATCAGGAACAAATGTCCTTTAAAATCCCCTTCATATTCTTTTCCTCTCCATTTCCTCTTGGTCTCCCACCACTAGGATTCATTTTCCAAAGCACATAATCACATGTGCTCCAGAGATTCTGATTGGTGTGTCATTAGTTACACACAGAGGTGTAAAGTATTGGAGTAAATGTAATTAGTTACTGTACTTAAGTATCTTTTTGGGTACCTTGTAGTTGTACTGAGTATCAAAGATATTAGCAACTTTTACTCTTTACTTCACTACATATTTGAATGAGAATCTGTACTCTTTACTCCACTACATTTGAAATGAGTGTTGCAGTTACACATTACATTTTGCATGGACCTAGCTTTTTCTGCAGCAGTTTATTTCTGCTACAAAAGACGTGATACTGCCTATTACAGGTCACTGAAAGTACTGCATCTTGTGCGTTTTGCCCTTACTCACCCAAAACACATATATTAATATGTGCTATTTGAGTTCACATTGTGATGGATTGAGTTCATTATATTGTGTACTTGAGTTTTCAGAATGGGAACATGGTTAAACCTGTGCAAAGTGAAGCCATTTTTGTGAACAGTTTTTCAGAAAATATTGAGAAAATGGGAACATGTCTGAAAACAGGTGAAATGTATTAAACATTTTGAGAAATTTATCTTCTTTTCTTTTCCTTTTTAAATGTTGTATTTTGTTTTCAGTTCTGTCAATCAGTCATACCACAGTTACACACATTTTTGTGCATATTTTGAGGTGCATATTAGTTCTTCAAAGGTACATATTAGTACCTAAAGTGTACTGTATGAGTACCCAAATGATACATATTAATAGGCTAAAAAGGTAAAAAGGTACTGCCCCAGAGACAACTTTTGAATCTTTTTTTTGGGTATAAAATAGTGTCGTCTAAATTTTTATATTCATTTCAGAAAGCTTCTTTTGTTAAAAATTTTGCAATGCAAAAATGGACTTCTAAATGTGTTTGGTTGTGGCTGTGATATCTGTCAGTTTATGTGTTGGGATGAATTGTCAGTTTGTATCCCATGACATTAACTTAAGCATCAGTCTGTGGCTATGCAAAATCATATGCAAAAAAAAGCAAAAGGTTGATTGAGGTAAACAACATTTTAAAAATGTATTACATTAGATCAAATTATAGGTTGATTTAACATGTAATACATTTTTTAAAACATTGCAGATTTACGTAGTTGATTATCACATCCAAAATACATTTATTTAAAATAAAAACATTTTACAAAACATCATACTTAATGCAGAATAAGAGATTATTGGAATGATTAAATAAACAGAAAATTTATTCACTGTTTGCTTAGGTGGTTATTTTCATTAGGTCTGCACTGTAATATTACAATGATATATCAAAACCATATTTTCTGCTTGGTTAAAACAAAACTACTAATTGAATTTCATCAACATATACATCAGACCATCTTGCTGATTCAACAAAATTGTAACTTCTTTCTTTGTTTTGCTTGTTAGCCCACTGTTTTGTTCTTTAAGTTGATTATTTTTCTATTATCTATTACCTGCTATTATACCATCTTAATACTCCATGCTTTTTTTTTGTTAAAAACATAAAGAAAGAAAGAAAGAAAGAAAGTATATTTTATCTAATAGGCTCGAGCATTAACCCTATATAGGACAAGAAAAATGCATGAATTTATATTTTTCTTATTTTGGACCATTGCTTTTCATTTTATGCAAATAAATAAAATAAAATAAATAAATACACAAACACAGAGACATTTTTCAAATATCTTTTAAGAAAGAAAGTCAAACATGAGAAAATAACAACACAACGGTCATTTTTGGGTGAAATGTCCCTTTAAAATTGTTTAAGTACTTTTATATTCCATGTGATTCCTTATTATACATTCCTTTATCATTAACTTCCAAGTAAATTACATACACTGTGAAAATAAATCCATACAAATGAGGTACAATCATATGAAGGAATTTTCTGTATTGGTTTCATCTGTATTTTGAATTTTGCACTTCATTGCGTTGTTTTAGGGCAGGGCTGTCCACACTCGGTCCTGGAGGGCCGGTGTCCTGCAGAGTTTAGCTCCAACCCTAATTAAACACACCTGAACCAGTTAATCAAGCTCTTACTAGGCATACTAGAAACTTCCAGGCAGGTGTGTTGAGGCAAGTTGGAGCTAAAGACTCTGCAGGATACTGGCCCTCCAGGACCGACCTGTTTTAGGGTTTACAAAAAATGTTCGTAAAATTAGTGCATAATGTCCTGGCAGAAAAGAAAATCACCACTACATATTCTGTTTTGTTTTTTAACAGTGTAAGTTGATGTTTCTGATTCCAGAAATGTGTTAAACTTCTGTTAATTTTCTCATAAAGACCCTCCCCTTTGAAAAGCTATAAAATGAGCACTGAAACAGACACGTTATTCCATTCAGCTCCTGATCAAAGATGGATCTGCAAATCTCAGTATTTCTTCTGTTCGTTCTCTTCACTGCAGGTACAAAGACAAATAGTGTTTGTAATGTTATTGAGTACAAATACAGATAATAGATGTCTCTCTCTCACTGTCTCGCTCTCTGTTTTATTACTAAAGGACACTCTCTCAGATGTTATGAGTGTATGGGTCTGACGGGTTCTTGTGCGGATCAAAATGTGGCAACATGTCCCAGTGGATTTTCCAAGTGCATGAGTTCAACAACAGTGACACAAGCTGGTAAGTCCAATATGATTTATTAAAATGTGCTGTTATATGTTTGATTGATGAAGATGCTGCTATAATTTACTGATGCTGAAACGATGGAACTGTAACTTCTCATACTGTATAACCGCTAATTTGTGCTAGGTAAGTAAAGGTAAATAAATAGAGTAACAAGTGCATAATAAGTGCAGTAAACAGTCAAACTATTTGTGCTACAAACCAGAGTGTTTATGATTACAACAATCCATTAAAATAATATGATAAGAAATACCAGTATGAAATATCAAGTAGTATAACTGACTGTTTTTGTACAGCTAAAATAACTGGAAGCGTTCAAATTTAAATGGCCGCGTCTAATCTGGATAGAACTGCAAATGTTGGAATTGTTTCATTATTCTATTATACAGAGGTTTGTCTTTTTTGCAGGTCCCATTAAGGTGTCCATCAAAATTAAACGGTGTGCACTTACATGTGAAGCTGGGACTCAACAGCTCCCGACTGGAGGGACAATAACTACCCAGTGCTGTGACACTGACCTCTGCAATGCAGCAGGTATTGTCCTTTACATGATCGATTTCTCCACAGTGACTTAAAATTAGGAAATAATACAAACAATAACACGACAAACACAAGTGATTGTTTAAAGGAACATAATATCACATTTCAGCAGCCCTGAATAGTGTGCAAAGCTTGAGTGGCAGGATTGCTTATGAATTAGTCAAGTACTTTCAGAGAGTTTTAATTACAAAGCTATTTTTAATTACTATTATTATTATTAGTAGCATTAATTAACATTACATTTTCTTCTTCTCTTGATCAGGTGGCGTGTATAAGGGGAGCTACCTCCTGCTGTTGTCTCCTCTGCTCTTCTACTTCCTGTTTCAGTGAGTCCAGCTGCAGCAGAAACTGAAAGTCACATTTCCATATTTTACTGAATAAAGTGTACATGTTGTTCTGCTGTTCTTTAGGATGATGATTTGGGGGATTAAACAAAATAGTGCATCAACTAGTGTAACACACAAATAATTATTAAAAAGAAAAACAAAATGAATATATGATGAGTTTGCAATATCTGCAGTAATTTTGTGGAGTAATAATATTTGCAGTTAAGACTATATATTTCCTTTATATTTCCTCTTCCCCTTCCTTTTCATATATATTTCAATATATACTTTCCTATACAAATAAAATGAAAAGTTATAATGGAATGCAATAAAAAAAAACACACACACAAAAAAAACCAGTGTGCTAAAAACATCTTTCTCAGTTATTTTTCTTAATTTACTTTCATTTCTTATGGTTGTTCAAGGTCTGCTAAGGTTTAAAGGTACAGTAAGTGATTTCTGAGAAACACTGCTTATATTTGACATCAACACACCGCTCATTTTATTGCTCCGTCAAGGCTAACTCTCCAATCTGTCATGTTTCTATAGCTGATATTACAGCATCATATCTTGGTTATGTAAAAAAAAAAAAAAAAAAAAAGGCAAAACTATTATTACTCCCATATTGAGCAGAAACAAAGCAACCTCAATATCTGTCTTCAGGCCTTCCTGCTCTCGAAAAAACTATTACAGTAATTTATCTTAACGTTGAAGTACACTATTGTTGTAAATGTGTGAGACTTCCAACTCTTTCTTGTTTTTGTTTCATGGTCTATGTGCCTTGCCCTGGACTTTTATGTCACTTCCTGTCTGCCGTGGTGTTTGTAGTCAGTTTGTAGTCCGTTTGTTCATTGGTTCCCCTTGATTAGTTTCCCCAGGTGTGTCTTATCTTGTTAAGCTTGTTAGCCCCCTGTGTGTATATATAGCCCTAGTTTTTCTTTAGTTCCTTGTGAGTTGTTGAATGTAATGGTTGTCTGTATGCCAGTCATTCTGTTCTTTGTTCCCTTTGGTTTTTGCCTTATTGTTTGTTCTAGTTTTTCCAAGAAATACCAGCACATATATCCTTGCCTCTGCCTGTTTTCCGCAGCTTCTCCACAACGTCACAGTTTTTCACTGGCATGTCTCTTTGACTAGTGCATTTTTTGAGCCTATATTTAGTATAAGTAAAATACTTAAGTACTGTTAAAATCAGATACTCTAAGACTTTTACTCAAGTTGTTTTGGAATTGGTGACTTGTAACGTGTAGTGGAGTAATTTTCACTGTAAGGTATCTATCAAATAATTATTAAAAAGAAAAAAAAATGAATATATGATAATGAGTTTGCAATATCTGCAGTAATTTTGTGGAGTAATAATATTTGCAGTTAAGACTATATATTTCCTTTATATTTTCTCTTCCCCTTCCTTTTCATATATATTTCAATATGTACTGTCCTATATAAATAAAATGAAAAGTTATAATGGAATGCAATAAAGATAAAAAAAAACAGTGTGCTAAAAACATCTTTCTCAGTTATTTTTCTTAATTTACTTTCATTTCTTTGGTTGTTCAAGGTCTGCTAAGGTTTAAAGGTACAGTAAGTGATTTCTGAGAAACACTGCTTATATTTGACATCAACACACCGCTCACTTTATTGCTCCGTCAAGACTAACTCACCAATCTGTCATGTTTCTATAGCTGATATTACAACATCATATCTTGGTTCTGTAAAAGAAAAGAAAAAAAACTATTATTACTCCCATATTGAGCAGAAACAAAGCAACCTCAATATCTGTCTTCAGGCCTTCCTGCTCTCGAAAAAACTATTACAGCAATTTATCTTAACGTTGAAGTACACTATTGTTGTAAATGTGTGAGACTTCCAATTCAGTAGCCACTATACTGTATGTAAATAACTAGAATAACAACATGTAGGAAATGGTCAAACTATTTGCACTACAAAGCAGTGTGTTTATGATTATAATAAAGTGTACTTATCTGACCTTTTCCTGTGCATATGCGCATTTCAGTAATAAAATGTATAATCAGCTACATAAACCTGCCACATAAACTGTATTATCTAGGCTATTAATTTTAGATGAGAAAGCTTCTTTTGTTAAAGCTTTTTCAATGCAAACATGGACTTCTAAATGTGTTTGGCTGTGATATCTGTCAGGTTATGTGAATTATACCCCATCACAACATTTCCTCAAACATCAGTCTGTCACTATGCAAAATCACATGCAAGAAGACAAAAGGTTGATTGAGGTATAACAACGTTTAAAACAAAATATTATACTGCATGTTAGATCAAATTATAATACTTACAATTTTGATTAAATGCTTTAATATTTTTAGATTAATTGTTTGCTTAGTTGTTTATTTTCATTAGGCCTGTACTGAAATATTGCTTAAAATAATACACAGATATATCAAAACCATATTTTTGCTTGTTTAAAACAAACCTACTAATTTAATTTCATCAACATATACCTCAGGCAATTTTGTCCCCTCATTTCTTTGCTTATGTTAGCCCACTTTTTGTTCTTTAATTTGATTATCTTGGTATTATTTCTTATTTGCTATATTCAATTTTAGTACTCTTCGATTTTTATGCTAAAATCTTTAAATGCATAAATACATACATTCAAACATGCATAAAGAGTGATAGTAACACAATCTGATGGGTTCTAGGTCATTAAAACTTCTAACATCTCCAGTCTGATCCTTCATGATTTCAGCGAAAAGGAAACTATGGTTCTGTTTAAACACAATGTTCCATGTCCCACCCAGTGTGTGTGGGTGGGTGTCATAAAACCTTTAATGTTTTACAACAATATAGTATATTAAATTGAAAAGATCATAGTATTGGTTCAAGTAACCAATGTAGATAATACAGCATTTATAGGTAAACAAAGTATGTCGTTCTTTCTTCTGCAGAACACAAGAAGATATTTAAAGACTTTTGGGGCCCAAACAACACTGAACCCCAATGGTTTTCATTTTATGGACAAACACACACACAGACAAACGCAGAGACATTTTTCATATATCTTATTTTGTGTTCCACTGAAGAAAGTAAGTCAAACAGGTTTGGAATGACATGAATAAATGATGACAGAATCGTCATTTTGGGGTGAACTATCCCATTAAAATGGTTTAGTAGACTGGAATTCCTTATCAAACATCCCATTATCGTAAATTACGTAGGCTGCTGATTCCAGAAATGTGTAAACTTCTGTTAACCTTTCATTTGCTCATAAAGACCCGCACCTTCTTATCAAGCTATAAAATGAGCACTGAAACAGACGTTATTCATTCCCCTCCTGATCAAACATGGATCTGCAAACCTCAGTTTTTCTTCTGTTCGTTCTCTTCACTGCAGGTACAAAGACAAATAGTGTTTGGAACGTTATTGAGTACAAATACAGATAATAGATGTCTGTCTCTCTCTGTTTTATTATTAAAGGACACTCTCTCAGCTGTTATGAGTGTATTAGTCTGACGGGTTCTTGTGCGGATCAACAGGAAAAACCATGTCCCAGTGGAGCTTCCAAGTGCATGAGTATAACATCAGTGTCAAAAGTTGGTAAGTCTAATATGATGGATTGAAATGTAACTTGTCACAGAACTGCTATCTCATTTTTCTGGAGGAATTTACAAATTCAAACACAAAATATTATATAGAGATTTCTGACATTTCATTTGTTTTCTCTCAGATACAATTTGTAAAACAGTTTGAAATGAGAAAAATTATAAATGTCACAATTTTCCATCAAAATAATGTGTTTTGTCCTGAATCACTCATGATTTTAGGTGACATCAGTATTAATGAGAAGATAAAAGGTTGTGCTGCTGACTGTGCAAGTGGGTCCATGAACCTCGGCATTGTAAGGACATCTTCAGCGTGCTGTAACACAGACCGGTGTAACGTCCAAGACGCTCCAGGTATTGTGTGATTTATTGACCATATGTTTGTACTTTCTTCTACACTGGAAGCTCCTGTCGTCAAGTCAAATTCCTTGTGTGTGTAAACATACTTGGTAATAAAGCTCTTCTGATTTCTGATTTCTGATTTCTGATATGCAAATGATTAACTTTAAAGTCAACACTCATTCTACTTCCAAAGGACACACTGTAAAAAAATGATTGCTGCGATTAGTTATCACAAAATAACATTCAACATTATAATAAGTAATAATGTGTTGTTTCAACTTTAAAAAGTAAGAATTTCAGTAACATTTTTTACAGTACAGAAAATAAAATGCAGGGTGCGGCTTGTCAGTTATAAACTGATTGAATGGAGCAGCTAACAGAGTGTTGTTTCATTAGATATCATATTTTGTACGGACAATAAAATAAAAGAATACTTGTTTTCCTCCTGTAGATCCCAGTACTAATGTCCCTAATGGAAAGAAATGTTATTACTGTGATGGGAAGAGCTGCTCAAACACAGTGAGCTGTTCAGGGAGTGAAGACCGCTGCATTACAGCAACAGGTGAGAATCTGCTAAAGCAAGAAAAAAGAAGATTAATGTTGTCATTGTTGTTGTTGTTGTTTTTAATCTCTCTTATGTTTAAACATTTAATACATATCATATATACCAGTAAAGCTTAGACTCAACCTGTGTTTTCTTTCTTTTCATCAGAGAGTTCTGGAGGCCAGACAGTGGTTGTAAAAGGCTGTGTCTCTAAATCTTTGTGTGGTACCACAACATCGGTTAGAGATGTCCGGAGCGAATCGTGTTGTGAGGGGAACCTGTGTAACAGTGCTAAGAGCGTCACTCAGAGCTTCCTGTTCCTCTGCTGTTCTCTGCTCTCCTTCATCCTGCTGCACTGAATCCAGCAGCTCTTCACTTTCTACAATGTGACACACTGTATTGAATATAGAGCTGATATTTTCCATGTACCATGCATTTTTGGTGTCCTAATCAGATTTTTTTTGCTGTGACATTCTGATGTGACATTTATGAAATAAAATATGAAATCAGCTTTTCCTGGGGTCATATTTAATAAAGCTTGCCATGCTGCAAAGACAACCAAATGATATACAGAAACAATTAAAAGATTTTCTTTCTTTAAAAATGATTAAATCATTATTGTGTTCAGAAGAAACATGAAAGATAATTATTTAACTATTCAAAGAAATAGTTTGTATTACAATATTTGCATTTCAACTATCAGGAATTTTTATTTTCACAGTTACAGACACAAAGTGTAACTGTAATACATCATATGATAAAGGCTGGGTTGATCACAATTCGATTTGATTCTTGAACAGTTTTTTTTTTTCTTAAGGATAAAAATTGTCTTTCAGCTAATGCTGTAAACTTGGAACCCTCATTACACATTACTACTTACATTACTATAGTAGGTCTTTTTACGGTTAAAATTAACTGTAGAATTACAAACTGTCAAATTCAATCGTTTTTTTGTTTTTAGATAAAATAATCAACATCTGCATAATTTTGCACTGTCCTTCTTTTCTAACATTGTCATTTAAATTTCTCTTTTATCTAAAATTCAATATATATATATATATATATATATATATATATATATATATATATATATATATATATATATAT